TAAACGGAGCACTCGATGCTATAAGTTTGGTTTGGAGATCATACCATGATCTTGACTGACGCTCTGTCTACAAGCTTTTCCGTTGATAAATTTTTCACAATCCCAAAAACCTTGATGGCCCAATACAAATCCGTGCCACCTAAATACTTTATACAAAAAAAAACTGGACCCAATGCCAATGGACACAGTGATGCATTCAACAATAACTCATTTATTATTCATTGGAATTATTTAAATTTGTCATGAATCGACCGCTACCTTTGAATGCGGTTTTTCAATCGGATCGTAATTGATGGGCAAGCATTGTTCTCTGTAAAACGGTTTTTTTAACGTAATTTATCAGCGGCCCATTTGGTATGGCACAAATAAATCAAAACAAACCAACGAGGTCATCAGTATTAACCTTGTAATAGTATGTTGAGAATTTTTTAAAGTATGTTAAACAAGAAATAATTATTAGTGGTACTTCTATGCAAAAAATTTTTGCTTCAAGAAATACATATAAAATATAGTGCCGAGGCAAGCTCGAACATTTTTCATTGTAAATTATAGATAGAGGATCCACGTTCTTTTGGCAAACACGCTCCGAACAGTTCTGGCTTTGAAAGGAGCACGTAGCAGACATTTTTCTCGAGGGTGTGAAATATTATACGTGCATATTTATTTTTTTGAGTATTATAATTTCCGAGGGTGTTGTTTTCTAATTTTGACACAAAAAGTTGCATATTTTATGAAAATTGTTCAAAGTGTTGAAACTGAAACAAGCTGTTAGACAAAAGGTTGGCACTGGACTTCTATCAATTGAGAATGTATGCAGGAGAATTATCTAAAAGCTCACTCGAAAAAGACCTGATAGAAGTAATCTAAGATAAGCTTCTGCTTTTTCTTATATGATTCTTCTTTTCCTCCTGTTAAATTGATCACATAGCCTTTAAAAATACATGCCAAATGAAACAATTTAATGAATCTGATTCAAATAAGATTCATATTATAACAAAAAGAAAAGGCAGGTTTACCCGGGAAAATTCCAATATCAAAATTGCAAATAATGTCTTTTTAATTAGATACGCAATTACCATTCGGAATAATTGCATTCGTTTATTTTGCTTTCCGGTTGGCGCAGGATCAGATAGCGCAAAGCCGAATCGACATTCAAGTAACGTTTTAATGATTTATCTCATTTGTACTGAATGAATGGCTTCCCTGCAGGTACTGTTCGTTGTGTGTACTTTATAATTGCGATATTTTTTGAAAATACACGCCATTATTTACCTATTCGAATAAGAATGCTGAAATCGTACAGTAGACTTTTTTTCTCCATTTGAAATCTCAAGTCAACTCGACAATTTGCTAGAAAGAAAATAGAAGCGAAAAATCGACATTATCGAGTCGCCAAGCATAGTCGGTGCTTTATTTGCTACGTATTAAGGGTCTTTTGAACAAATAATTTGAAGTTTGAAAATGTTTTGGGAACAAATAGAATACTTTAGCATTTTCCGCTTTTGAGTTTTTCAGTTTAATCGTTAGTCAATAGTTAGTTGATTTTTCAGGAGTTTTTTGTAATAGTTCCTGTAGCTTTTCGTCAGTAATTTAGCTCGCCATCCTTAAAAGTTGGTCATGTTGAACATGTACTTACAATTTTTCCTTATTTTCATTAAGTAAACTATTATGGAGGTAAATTACAATATTCAAGACGAGGACATGAAATTCGGTTGACAACTTTCTGACAAATTTACTGAATGACTTCTAATTTATAACGGGTATACAATTATTAAAAATAATACCCTCAAAACTAAAAAGGTAATAATGTAGTCTACTACATAGCCCTCCCTCAAAAAAAATAAAAATAATAATAATAATAATAGTAATAATAATAATAATAAATAATAAAATAAATCAATTAATGAACGAACTAATTGGATTTTTCCATGAAATCTTTTTTAAATTTGCTGGTATTTTAGAAAAAGGAACATTAAACGACTCAAAATAATCAATATTGTTATTGTCAAAATATGCTGGCTTCAGTCGATCAATCGATACAGTTCTATTTTTGTTATTAATATCTATCACGAAATACTTATCATTTCTCTCGATGACTTTATGTGGACCTGAATAAACACGCTGTAAAGGCTTCCGGACCATATCATTACGAAGAAAAACATGAGTTGAATTAAATAAGTCTTTAGATATGAAAACTTTTTTATTACAGAACGGTCTGTCAACCGCGGGTTTAATTTTATTCATAAAATTTTTTAATTCATAAATAAACGTTGACGAGTCAATATTATTATTTGTGGATGAATTAAAAAATTCGTTTGGTAACTTGATTGTTGTTCCGTAAACCATTTCTGAGGCAGAACAGCCTAAATCCTCTTTGACTGTAGTACGGGGACCAAGTAGAACCAATGGTAAAAATTCGACCCATTTATTTGTTATATCTGTATAACATTTCAAAGAAGTTTTCAACGAACGATGGAATCTTTCCACAAGACCGTTACCGATAGGATGATAAGCGCAAGTACGAATCCTCTTGATACCTAAAAACTGAGTTAATTCTTTGAATAAAACAGATTCAAATTGTCTACCTTGATCCGTGGTTATAACGGAAGGAATGCCAAATCTCGATATCCAACCTGAAATTAATGTTGAAGCTACTGTTACAGCAGTAATATTAGAAATAGGGAATGCTTCAGGCCATCTGGAAAACCTATCGATGCAAGTTAAAATATATCTGAAACCTTGACATGTTGGTAAAGGACCTACTATATCTACATGAATATGAGAGAACCTAGAGTCAGGTAATTTAAAATGTTGAAAAGGTGCAGAAGTATGCTTTGTTACTTTTACACTTTGGCAACTTATGCATGCTTTAACCCAGCACTGAATATCTTTTTTCATGTTAGGCCAGACAAAACGTTCACAAATCTGTCTCTGTGATGCTCTTATTCCTGAATGAAAACTATTGAATATTGACTTTCTAAATTTCTTGGGAATAAAAGGTCTAGATCTTCCCAAAGAAATGTCACAATAAATGTAATTTTGTGAATTTGGAATTAAAATTGTTTGAAATTTCAATGAAGTGACGAAGTGAGTTGACTTTTTTCATTTTCCAATAATTGTTGTAATTCTATATCATCTTTTTGAAATTTAGCAATTTCTTCAAAATCTAATGCATTTTTCAAATCAATAGAATTCATGTACATTCTTGAAAGTGTATCTGCTACAACATTATCTGAACCTTTGATATAGCGAATATCAGTTGAAAATTCAGAAATAAATTCCATTTGTCTTATTTCTCGTGGATTATGGTTATTCAAATTACTAGAAAACATGAATGTTAATGGTTTATGGTCCGTAAGGATAAAGAAATCTCTACCTTCAACAAAATATCTGAAATGTTTTACTGCAAGATAAATTGCTAAAAGTTCTTTACCAAATGTTGAATAACGCATTTCAGTTTTGGAGAGTTTCCGTGAGAAAAATGAAAGTGGCTGCCAAGAATTATCAATATATTGTTGCAAGACAGCACCTACTGCATTGTCTGATGCATCAACTGTAATATTAGTTTGAGCATCATGTTTAGGATAAGTGAGTAACATTTTGTTGGATAATACGTTTTTTATTTTCTCAAAAGCTTCAGAGGTTTCATCGTTCCAAATAATTTCATGATTATCAGCGGATTTCTTTTTCCCACAGAGTATATTACTCAAAGGAGACAATATTTTCGCGTACTGTGGAATAAATCTATGATAAAATGTTATCAAACCTAAAAACTCTCGGAGTTTACGTATTGAAGTTGGTTTAGGAAAATGTTTGATGGTATTAACTTTTTCAGGAAGAGGCATAATACCATTTTTATTTATAGTATGTCCAACAAAAATTAAACTCAGTCTTACCGAATTCGCATTTAGGTGCATTCAAAACAATACCGTATTTTTCAAAGCGCTGAAAAAGTTGATTCAAATGAATCTGATGTTCTTTTTCTGATGAGCTAGCAACAAGAACATCGTCAATATAAGCATAACAAAAGCTCAAACCAGAAAGTACATCATTGATAAATCTTTGAAAAGTTTGAGCGGCATTTCTTAAACCAAAACTCATGCGAGTGTACTCAAATAAACCAAATGGAGTGATTACTGCAGTTTTTGGAATATCTTTGGGTTCTACAGGAATTTGATGATATGCTCTAACTAGATCTATTTTCGAAAATATTTGCGCGTTTTCAAAATGGGCAGTGAAGTGCTGCAGATGGGCAATAGGATATCTGTCAGGTATTGTTATTCTATTTAAAGCTCTATAATCACCCACAGGCCTCCAATCGCCCCCTTTTTTAGGAACTACATGAAGTGGTGAAGCCCAGCTACTTGAAGAGGGGCGAATTATTCCTAGCTCAAGCATATGATCAAACTCTTTCTTAACAATTTTTAATTTATCAGGTGCTAATTTACGTGCTTTAGAATAAACAGGAGGACCTGTTGTTTCAATGAAATGAGTAACACTATGTCTCACTGACATGTAATTCATATTATGCATTGTTAAAGAAGGAAATTGATTAAGAATATTTCCAAATTTTGAATCAATATTACTGTCAGTGGAAACATGTGTAATTTCACAGGACAAAATATTTGATACTGCACCTGAATTGCTCATGCAACCGCTTTCATTCACCAAACAATACCTCGAAACATCAACTAAAATTTTAAATTTTTGCAAAAAATCTATACCTACTATTGGGTACTTCACGTCAGCTACGATAAAAACCCAGTTAAATGGACGTTTGAAACCTAAATTCAGAGTCATCGATCTGAAACCATAAGGATTTATATTATGATTATTTGCGGATTTTAATAAAAATTTAGGATTTTGTTTATTTATTAAATATTTTAAGGGTAATACACTTACTTGACTACCTGTATCGATCAAATATTTGATGCCTGAGTATTCATCCCGAATAAATATTAAACGACCTGTTTTTAAATTACCAGCAAAAGCAGCCGCAACTAATTGCCGGTTCTCAAGTTTTCCGACCATGAGCAAGGTGAATTGCATCTTTGAGCTTTTTTTCCAAAACGTGAATGGTAGTAACAGTAACGCGATGGAGGCGGTGTTGGCGATCTGCTACTTTGAAATTTTGGAATTGATGTTCGTCTAGTTTGATGAGTTCTTGAAGCAATGTTTAATGATTTTAGCATTTCTTTAATTTCATTGATGTCTTTTGACAATGCAAGGTTATTTTTCTGGCATTGACAAGGATGTTGAAAGGAGGTATCCATTTCATTTTTTTGCTGGTAAGTAGAAGCAACCTGAATTTCCGTATTTACTTCCATAACCCTATCTGCAACTTCAGCTTGTAATTCCAAACTGGAAGAATCATCCATTGCGGCAAGGACAGTTTTGACATTGGTGAGTAATCTCTGAAGAAATAATTCTTTTATAAATGATTTATCTGTTGTTGTTGCTTTTTCGCCTAGCAGTTGTTGTATTTTTCTGAGTAAAGGAGACGGCTTTTCTTCACCTAGTTCTTCAATATGTAGAAGTTTCTGAATTCTGGATTGATCAGATAAAGTCGTTCGTTTAATGATCACTTTCTTCAATGTATCGTATGCATTTTGTTCAAGAGGATTCAGCAAAATATCACGTACTTCAGTTGCAAGTTCTGACGAGATCGAAGACACCAAGATATTGTATTTGCTTTTATCCGAGGGTAATTTTCTTGTAGCGAAAATTGCTTCAATTTGTGTGAACCAAACGAGGAAGTCATTCGGCCAAAATTCGGGCAGCTTGAAATTAATATTTGCGGAAGTACTATTAGAAGAATTTTCTGATTCCGTATTTGGCATTTCAGTCGTCGGGGTCACCAATTTATGGAGGTAAATTACAATATTCAAGACGAGGAAATGAAATTCGTTGAAATTGACAACTTTCTGACAAATTTACTGAATGACTTCTAATTTATAACGGGTATACAATTATTAAAAATAATACCTTAAAAACTAAAAAGGTAATAATGTAGTCTACTACACTATTTTATAGTTATTTATGTATCAAGGGTACTAAGTAAATGATTATGCCCTGAGGGCGACAGTCTTACAAAGCCGAGGGCCTCTGGCCCGAGGGTTCGTAAGTCGCCCGAGGGTATACATATCTATTAGTACCCGTGGTGCATACAAACTTTTATGTCTTACCAGTTGGTTGTGAATAATAAATACCTGGGAAAAAAGTGTCACTTCGCAAATTGTCATCAGTGTACAAACATCATCATTTTTTGACAAAAATAATATGTTTATAAGCGTAAATTTATATTTTGTTAATAAAGAATAAGTTAATTGAAAACTGTTTTTTGCGTCTTTATGCCCGCGCGGGCCATAATGTGTACTTTATGCCCGCACGGGCATAAAGTAATGAATTATGTAGATGGTATCTAAGGTATAAAAATAAAATAATGTATTGGTATGACATAAAAAAAATTATTATTTTGATTACTACTTAGAATTAGAGCACGCCTATAATGTAGATTAACCATCTTTAAATTTTTCTCGAACTGTCAACGGATAATACTTTTCGCGACTTCTTGCAAAGTCTTCTTTTAGCAACTTCGGTCTCAATTAACAATAAACTTTAAAATTATGCTGCACCAGCCTACTGTATCACTTGGAAGTAAGGTGAGGCTGTGACGAGTCCTTATCTCTCCAACTATCAGGCGAAAAGTGGGGTTATACACTCAACTCGGAAAAGGGCGGTTAGAGACTTTTTCTAGAATAATTATGTCATTACATTTGGCAATTTTACACACACGTTGTTTTGCTTGATTACTTTTATTAAACTTGTTTTAACAATCAACAAACTATGAAAAAGTATTAAATATACGATAAATGTGAAATTCTCAACATCCTTTACGTCGATACACGACATTGGTCCTTCGAGCCGGATATTTTGAGCCAAAATAACCTATTTGGTTAAAAAAACGATGTTGCAATACCTCCTAGACGAGCTGAAGAACTGGAAAGAGTGATATTTGGAAGCAAACTGAAAATTGTTTAGGATTTTTTAAAATTTTTATCGATGCGGATTCTGGAAAAAAATTAAAAATCCATTCTAATGGTTTACCTACCTACATTGTGATAGGTAATGTTTATGGATGAGACCATAATCCGATCGTAGATCGGTTTCCCGCTGGTTGTTTAAAATTTGAGTAATTTAAAGTGTTGTCTTCTGATTGGTCGAATGGTCACAATGCAGATAAGTATGAAAAAAAAAAACAAGAATGGTTTTCCTAAAGGGAATTGGGTTCTAAAAAGGCCTCTTTTCTGGCAGCTAGTTGAACAGGCAAGTCGAGTTTCATTTTTCAATTTTTTTTAAATATCTTTTTCTAAAATTTCTAGATTTTCTCTTAATATTTTTCAATTTATTACATTTATTGTTTTCTGATATCTGGTTCCATTATTGTACAGGGTGATTCATTAAGAATGGCACTCGGCCATATCTCAAAAACTATTCATCGTAGTCTTGTCGGAAAAAAATTCTCCCATAAATATGGCCAAGAGAAAATGCTGGAAATATATTTCAGCTTTCTAAAATGACCGTAAGGGGGCGTAACTCAACTGTCAAAGTACAAAAATGGTTTTATTTTTTAAATTTCAAATAGAAACGTATCTCAAAAATGCTAGCAATAGATTTTTGATGAAATTTCACACAGTTTTGATTCATGACTTTTTACCATAACTTATCGGATAAGATAGTTATGAGCTGTCAAATATTGCAACTCAAGAAAGCGGAGAACTTCACGACTCAACAAATCTGGTCGATCTTAGGTTCGTTGGAAAGACAAGAGTCTGTTCTTTAATTTTGTTGTGAAAAATTCAAATTCTGGTTAGTAGGACTGACGCTATGGGTCAATATTTGAAAACGATTGAATGTTTCCAATTTTTCTTAAAATTTTCAAATGGAACGGTATATTTAAGATATGTTAAATCGATTTTTGAGGATGTTTTACATAGTGTTTCTTTATTATACTTTCCTACAAACGAATTCCAGAGAGTGTTAAAATTAATTTTATTAAAAATAATCAGTATTTATGAAAAACCCTCGTAAATTGAGCAAATAACAGTTAAGTATGTCAGGCTGACACATTTTTGAAACTTCAAACGCTATTTTCTTAAGTCAAAATGCATTTCCCTAATGGAGAAGCACAGGACATCCTTGAGGTTCTGCATGAATGTAATGGAAATGCAGCAATCGCAGCCACTGGATTCTAATTATTTTGAAAATGGACAATGCTTATAAAAAATATGATAGACTGGTTTTGGATTATCTCTGTTAGTATTTACAGAAAGAGCAGAAAGAAAAATGAATAAATCCACAGTACGCGAGTGCCGAATTTATGCGGAAATGACGTCTAGATTTTAATTTCCAAAATTATTAATAGATGGCACCACCACTTGAGTAGTTTACTATTCTAAAAATAAATATGTATTTCTTCTTCAAGTTTCGTATCCTACAATATGCTCGTGTATTAATGGCTATCATTACATGATCATTGCATATATAGTTACTATTATAATTTCCTAACGCATTTTTTCCATTATTTGACATTCATCAATGATGACAATCAACTGTCAGAAAAGCGGAGTCATTATTTACGAGGGCTTTTTCATAAATATTGATTATTTTTGATAAAATTAAACTTAACACTCTCTGGAATTCGTTTGTAGGAAGGTATACATAGGCGGTTCTAGCCCATCTGTACTGGGGGGCTGAAGCCCCTGCTTAGAGGTCGCTCGCCGCAGGCGCTGCTAGAGGCCTCGCCGGAGGCGAAATTTTTTTTAGCTGCCACGCGCAATAATCTTATATTTTAATAAATATTTAGTCAAAATTGTTTTTATTTATTTATGAAAAATACCAAAGTTTCATTCTACTTATTACACACACCCAGGGTTGCCAGATTTTCAAAATTGAAAAGTAGGAGGTTGAATGGGAGGGAAAAATAATGTTTCGCTGCAGGCGGAAATATTTTTTCAGGTGCCACGCCCTAATTTTGTCACATTTTATCATATACAGAATGTAAGAAAAGTAACGGGACGGTCAATTATCTCTGAGGCCAGTGGTGCAATTTAAACAAATTCTTATAGTCCAAGAGCCCAGAGCCGCCAGACACAACTTATTTTCTAAAGGACAGAATATGTGGGATTGTGTAGCACTTATATGTACTATGAACGTATGTATATCCGCTAAGTTGGGTAGACGGCCAATTAACCGACACCAGGGGTCGTATTTTCGAAACCATTCGAATGCCGTTCGTATACGAAATAAGCCGAAATTCGCATGAAAATTGGGGTTCCGTATTTTCGAATCACTTTCGAACGGTCCGTACACGATTTGGTTCGTGTACGTTTACACGAGTGGGTCTCCACCAGTCGAATGTCCCATTTCGCATGCGATTTTATACTTGATTCTGCGCATTGCTTGGAATTTTGAAGTGGTAATCATTTTGTTAATACACGTTATATTTGTTATTTATGTACCTACCTAAATACGTTGTGCAAATTGAAAATTGTGTTCGATGTTCGTTCTCCTTTTGACTTTTCATTCGTTTCCAAATAATTTGCGGATTATAAATTGTCCTGTTTTATTAAAAGACAGTTTTTGGAATGACTGGCTGGGATTATTTAATCGAAAGAAATGTTATTGATGCCCTCGAAGAACTTTGGTTGATGTGCTTACTTTGCGCCAATGTTTCTAATGTTTTTCAGCTCCTGAAAGCTGAATTTTCCAGATTTTTAGTTCTGGATGCTCCTACATGAAGCTAATCAAATCTTTCCTTTGTTCAGCAGACACAAACCCTCCAAAAACCAAGATTGTTAGTTAACGTTATAAAAAACAAGGACGTTCAAGGAAATCCCAACGATTAGGTGCACAAAATTTATTCAGCAAGATCTATACTAACAGAATAGACTAAATAATACTTGATACACTCAATAAGCAGCCACAAAATACAAAAAAGACTTTGACAAGCAAAATATGGCCGGCAGGAAGATTACGAACTAACTACTATTCACATACACTATTTCTAACATAAATACAACAGTTTTAAATATAACAACGTAGATAATTCACAATTAGCACTATTTAAAACTCATAACACCATTTGATTACACCTAAACAAAGGGTTTGTGTGCCTCTTGGTAGACATTATCATTTAAGTTTGACAGCATCTTGGATAGTTTATAGGTTAACAGCAAAAATAGGGAGTGTTATGGTATTTTTAAAAAGCCGAATGTCAAAAAATACCTCTCCGTTTTTATATCGGTCGAAATGGCCATTACCAAATACTCGAATTTGCGACGTTGCCGACGCAAATGATACTCGTATACAATATCATTTTCGAAGGGCCTTCAAAAATACGCATTTTAGTTCGTGCACGACTTTTTTCATTCGAAATAGATCGCATGCGAAAAAATTCGCATGGTTTCGAAAATACGACCCCAGGTGCGAAAGCTTAAAAAGTACTTTAACTTTTTTTCTAACGCTTGATTTTTATACATGTTATTGGGGAGACTATTTCATAACTACGTGTGCTCAGCCAGACCAATCGCACCGGCCAAACATCCCCCCAGACGCAATAATAGTTTTTCCGTGAGTATGAGCGCGAGGGTACTATGCATGCGTTTGAGAGTGAGCGAGATATCTATTTCCCCCTCTTAAACTTACAGTCTACTCCAGGCTTGAGTAGAAATGGGATTAGGTTTTTCCCATAATGGGAAAAACCGTTATTTACAAATAACAGTCAACTGGCCGTCTACCCAACTTAACGAGTATACATACGTTCATAGTACCTATAAGTGCTACTCAATCCCACATATTCTGTCCTTTAGAAAATAAGTTGTGTCTGGCGGCTCTGGGCTCTTGAACTTTTATATTCAAGACGAATTCAAAAATTGTATGGACGTTGTTGCCAGACTTACCAATAATAGTTATTACAAGAGGAAAAGTTTTGTCGACACTGGACTACACAACTTATACTTGGACCAAGTAAGTTGGCAGCCAGCCTACTTACTTGGATGTTAGATCTAAGGACCTATCCTGGACTTGAAAAAATAGTTAATATGATAAAAGTGTCGTCCAATTGAGACGTGCGCAGCGTCCAAGACTCCAAGTATACTTGGACCGTGTCAACCGAACCTGGCTTAAATAAAGTGGAGTTTGGTAGAGAATTCTTGAAGCTCAAACCCCATTTATAATCTACAGTCAGCGTCACAACGAAGCGCTGATGATTGCCAACGTTCGTAGAGAACAAGGCACTTGAAGAAGATCAAATACCTTGCTTAGACCAAGAAATTGGAACATAATCGAACAGAGAGAATAACGACTCTATCTATAAAGAATTTGGGCAGGCAAAGTAACCGACAATAGATAAAACGAAGCAAGTACTGGAATGGAGACCAAGAAAAGAAGCCTATAGCAGTAGAGGCCGTACGATATCTTCAGTTCAGATTTGATGCCCAAGAACTCAAGCTTGAGTAGTTCTGTCTTCGTTCGGAATTAGAAATACAGAAAGATTCAAATAATATTATCAAAGTGCGCTCGCCTATCATCGACGTTAAGCGTAAAGGTACGGTTTGTTAGGATAGAATCAGCGTCAGAAAACGGGTGTACGTCATACCTGAACCAATGACGACGTTTACGTTGTCAGTTGTGCGTCGCGTACTACAGGGTGTCCTTAGATAAACTGACACATTTTGCAGGTAAATATTTCGAAAACGGGAAAAGATAACGAAATGCGGTTTGTTCTGGGAGAATAAGGATTTTTTAAAGTTTTTTTTTCACATTATTGCCAAATCCTGAAATTTGCTGAAATTTGGTTCTACAGACATGCGATTTTTTGAAATAAAATGACTGCCTTATTTTTAATGAAACATCCTGTATATTTTGTCATCAACAGAAATCTGATTTTTCTACTTTACAAAAATGTATAATTTTTTTCTATTATCTTGAACTTGCATCGTGAAAATTGCACTTTGTCGAAGAGAATACCATCGACTAACCAAAAAAAAAATTGAGAATTAATTTGTGTTCAATACTTTTATTAACTAATTAGCGCATAGTTAACTAATAATACAAGTAAAAAACACAAATAAGTGCATATAAAACACAAATTAATTATTATCATTTTTTTTTGGCCAGTCCATGGTACAATCTGCAACAAAGTGCAATTTTTACGATTCAATTTCATGATAATTGAAATAAATTATACATTTTTGTAAAGTAGAAAAGTCATACTTTCTGAAGATGAAAAAATATACCGGGAGTTTCATCAAGAATAAGGCAGTCTGTAATTATTTCAAAAAATCGAATGTCTGAAAAACCAAATTTCAGGATTCGTTAATACCATGAAAAAAAACTTTGAAAAATCCTTGTTCTTCCAGAACAAACCGCATCCCGTTAGCTTTTCTCGTTTTCGAGATATTCACCTGTAAAATGTGTCAGTTTATCTAAGGACACCCTGTATTCTAACAAACCGTACCTTAAAGCTCCCCAGTTGCGTTGGGTTGCCAGATTGAAGTATTAAAATTAGGGTAATAGTTATTTACCTAACAAATGCAGAAAGTGATACTTTAACGCAGTGTTACTTTCCATTTGCAAATAAGCGTGGTAAAGTGAACTTTACCGCACGCTCGTAAGTAAAAATAAATAAGGGCACCTAGTTCAGAATTAAATTTCATGTAATTTCCATTTTTGGGAAAAGCGGGAGTTTTGTTTAAGGGCGCGGGAGGCGGGAGGTTTAGTAAAAAAGCGGGAGACTCCCGCCTAAATCAAAAGGGTTGGCAACCCTACACACACCTACAGGCAACAGAGGCAACCCTGTCCCTAGCGGTGGGGGCTAGGGTTGCCTCTGTTTCCAGACTTCCCTATTTCGGATATTTATGAAATAATTGAATAAAATTTGATGAAATAATTAGATAAAGGTATTAAATCAATGAAATTATTGAAGTTATGTAGTTAATTAATCCTAACGCTTGAATATTCTTTATTCAGGGGTTTTTGCCACACATCACTAATTTAAATTTGGGGGGGCTAATTCCAGATTTGGGGGGGCTTAGCCCCCCCAAGCCCCCACCCAGAACCGCCTATGAAGGTATAATAATGAAAAACTGTGTAAAACATCCTCAAAAATCGATTGAACATATCTTAAATATACTGCTCCATTTGAAAATTTCAAGAAAAATTAAAAAAATTGAATTGTTTTCAAATATCCACCCATAGAGTCGGTCCAACTAACTGAAGTTGAATTTTTTTTACAACAAAATTAAAGAAAAGACTCTTGTCTTTCCAACGAACCTAAGATCGACCCAATTCGTTGAGTCGTTTTGAAGTTATTCGTGTTCTTAAGTTGCAATATTTGACAGCTCATAACTGTCTTATCCGATAAGTTATAGTAAAAAGTCATAGATCAAAATTGTGTGAAATTTCATCAAAAATCTATTGCTAGCATTTTTGGGATACGTTTCCATTTGAAATTTAAAAAATAAAACCATTTTTGTACTTTGACAGATGAGTTACGCCCCCTTACAGTCATTTTAGAAAGCTGAAATATATTTTCAGCATTTTCTCTTGGCCATATTTATGGGATAATTTTTTTCCGACATGACTTCGATGAATAGTTTTTGAGATATGGCCGAGTGCCATTCTTAATGAATCTGTACTTAAAACTCTCGACTCTAAAATTAACTAATAAACTTAATATGAGGAGTAGTTTTTTTTGAACCACTTAAAATAAATGGACTGAGAATGGTTTTAAATGGGTCAAGAAACAAAGCGTACGAAATGAGTTATTGTGCAGACAGGATATTGAACAAAGGCTGAACTAAAACTTTATTTATATAAACTAAAATGCGAACCATGAACTAGAATTTTACATTCGCTAAATTTTCCCATATTTAAATGGACAAGGCCAATGTCAAGGTACCATGATGCATTACAACTATCCTAATTAACTATAAGTACGATTGCAATAAGCAATGTTCGAACTAATTATCTTGTTATTTATTTGCGTTTTGCTTTTAGAAATTATTGTGGCATTTTTTCTTTTGCTTGAAGCCAATTAATCAATTTTTTTATGCTGATAAAATAATGCTCATAAATATGTAATTATATTACAAAGTTTTAAAAAAAGTTAAGATAATGTTACTAATTGTCTAAAAGTACTTATGAATATGAATATGAAGAAATTATAAACATCGACAAGGCAAATTTTAGCGTATAGAAGTTGTACTTATGGTGATTAAAACAAAAAACAAAGTAATTTATAATATAACAAAAATGCTTCGTTGTACTCTAGGCACCCAAAAAATCTTCTTCCATATAAATTTGATATTCATGCAGGTAGCTTAGTTGTGTTTTCAATTAATTTACCATAATTAAAAAATATGTAAATATATCTTACTCCCTCCCATGTAATATGAAGTTTTTCTTTTTTTTTAATTGCCTTGGTGCACGCAATTTTTGCGTGACTTATTTGGGATAACATGCTAAGATTAAATCTACCATGGTTGTACTTACTATAAAGGAAATATCTATTTGAAAATTGCTTTTTTTTCCTAATTTTTCTATAAAGATAAAATTTTAAAAAATTTACAACAATTTTACACTCTTATAACATTCATAAATTTATTATTGCCAGAACCAATATAGTGAGTTACGGTAGTATGTATAATCCAATGCCATATTTAATAGCACTAGCAATAAAAAAAAGCGAATTTCCAACTAAGTATGACTAATAGGAAATTGTACTTTGCAGCCTTAAATTGCAATATTAAGTGCAATTACATGATGTGAAAATAACAGTGTAATGCTGTGTAGTTTAGTTCAATGCGTAATGGAATTATGAAATGAATTAGGGTATATACTTTAACAAATTATACAAGCTTTGCATACTATGCTATGGACCATATTTTGGGAAAGCACGGAAAAGACCAATAATTTATACCGGATGCTTCACCTGTAGAGAAAGATTGTTTTGGAAGGGAAATTAAAAAGCAAATTTCTTAATTATCAATTCATCAAGTTGCAGTGGAAGACATTGAAGATGGATCAAGAAATCTCAATCAAAAGATTTCTAATTCGTAAATTTGAAAGTAATCAATTTGCAGAATCGTGTTAGATTAAGGACAGACAATAGACATAATATGTTTCCATTCCTGGAGTTCAGAAATATTCTATGCAAATATGGAATATTAGAAGAAGTGATCATATCATAATTTGTTTTGAAGACGGACAAATCAAGAAGGAAAAACACGAGGAAAAACATTATGACGTTTAAATTGCAAAAACAGGAGAAAAGATTTTTGCAAAAATTTTCCAAGAGATCCCTAAAACCATTACAAGGGATAGAAAAGACATGCTGATGAATGGGATTTAACGACATTGGAAAAACAAAAAGAAGATAGCTGAAAATGCATAATTTGAACGCCAAAGATTTAGATCGAATTTGAGAAATACAGTTTTTGGTTTTGTTTGGCTAGATGGTTTTGATTTTATCCTTTGCTTGTCATGCCTACTGATTACACAGATTTTATTTTCTAAGTTCAAAATCCACCTTAAAGGAGTAAAATTGACAAAATGTGTTTTTCGTAGCTTGCCTTGAAGATTACTCTAGTCAGATTCCTATACAAACTTTCAACATCAGATTCGTGTAACGGCGTCTTCCTTTCATTTATTATCACATGGGACAATCTGGGATTGGTATAAAATGCAGTGACATCTGATAAATGTATATTTTACCTATAACCGTGTAGTAGTTACGGTTTCGACCCGGTTTTGATAAAATCTGAAGCTTCTTTTTTTCATACAAAATGCTTTTTAGCAGTAACGGATTTTTATTTTGAATTCCCTTATCTTTGAAAGATACAAGAATCAGTTAGGTACTCCAAAAATTAGGAAGTTTTCTACCGCAACTTGTTACAAGACATTTTTTTTTTGAATAATTTAAAACAATTATTTCTGTCCATAAGTTAGTGGAGCCCTGTTTATTTAATTGCTGAAAAGAAACCTAAGTACTGGCTAGAAAATTCTTGAATGGAAGAATGTTTAGGTACTGGATGTCCATATTTATTGACATTTATTTGTTTTTAAGACTTGACAAATATGTACCTACCTAATATAAAATTAATAATTTTTGGCCATATTAAGAAAAAATAAATCTACATTAACTTTTCAATAGTCTCTTCATAACGTTTTAATTGAATTAACTTTAAGGTTTTCTCATTTAAACTCCGTCAAAGTTTGAGCCTGGCAGCAAAATACTGAACAAGCATTTTATTAACAAAACAACGTAATAATGAGGGTAGAATTACTTTTTGAAATTGAAAGGAACTTAAATGAGCAATAAAGTTGTACTTTTGTTTATTGAAAAAACTCATTATCGTATAGCAATATTTATTAATGATAATTAAAAGTCTTTTTATACCTATGTGTTTACTGGCGTTGGTTAACGAGAGCTCTTCAAACTTTGGAGTTCAAAGAACCAATTTTCCAAATAATCGCAATGCAGACAAAAGTTTAATTATTTTTTTTTCTTTAGTTCCATTTTTTTTATAGTCTTGTCCAGTTCATATTTCGTGAGATTGTTCGCAAGAGTTCCTGGAACAGCAAGCACACTTGTTATGAAAATAAATGAAATTTTGAAAAATTCCTTGAAGTTTCATTAGACTTTCCAGAAATCTTCGGCTATGAACGTGGAATTTCAAAATATTCTCATAAAATTTTAGTGATTTCCGAGGAATTTTTAAGAAATTACATGAAATGTCAATGAAATTCCGAAAAGTTTTATGAAAATTTTGTGGAATTCCAGGATATTTCAGTGGTGAAATTTTGGGGAATTTCGGTGAAGTTAAAAAAAAAAATATGGAATTTTTATGGAATTTTGAAATTTTGGTGGAATTCCGAGGAATTTCATGTAATCCTATACTGATTTTCCGAAAAAAATTTGTCTAAGAATTCCATAAAATCTTCTGGTAAAATATTAAGGAATTTCTAAGAAATTACTTGAGTGGAATTCCGAAGAATTTCATAAAATTTCCTAGTAATTTTTGTTCAAGAATTCCATTGAATTTTATTGTGGAATTCCATGAAATCTTATAGTGAAATTTGGAAAAACATTATGAAATCTTATAGTAAAGTTTTTAGGAATTTTCGTTTTTCCATTCAAATTTACCATTTGAATGGAATTTCGAGGAATTCCATAAAATCTTATGGTGAAATTCTAAGGAATTTCTATGCAATTAACTGAAATTTTTCACGGAATTCCCATGGATAACTTGAAATTTTAACAGAATTCCGAAGAACTTCATGAAATCTCATAGTGTAATTCCGAGGAATTTTTGTGCAAGAATCCCATTAAATTTTATAGTGGAATTCCATAGATTCTTATGATGAAATTCTGAAAAGTATAATGAAATCTTATAGTAAAATTTCTAGGAATTTAAGTTTTTCCATTCAAATTTATCACTTGAATGGAATTTCGAGGAATTCCATAAAATCTTCTGGTGAAAGGAATTTTTATGGAATTGACTAAAATTTTTGCGGAATTCCCATGGAATAACTTAAAATTTTAGTGGAATCCGAAGAATTTCATGAAATCTTATATTGTGATTCCGAGAAAAAAAAAATTCCAAGAATGCCATTGAATTTTATGGTGTGAAATGTGACATGTGAAATTTTTGCGGAGTTTCCATAGAATGCATATTAAATTTTAGTTCCTCACGAATTACATGAAATTTCAGTGGAATTTCGATCGAATTACATAAAATCCTGAATGAGTTGCATGGAGGAATTCTAAAGAATTACATTGAATAACACCGAAATTCCCAACATGAAATTTTAGTGCTCGTTAAATTACATAAAGAATTTTAAAAAAGTTTTAAAAAATTACATGCTTTCCGAGGAATTTTCGTCGAATTATATGGAGCTCCGATGCAATTGCATAGAATTCTAAGAAATTGTCAGGAATTACATGAAATTTAAGTTGAATTTTAAACAACTCTTATCGTTTCATAAGGAATGAAGTTTTATTTTTTTTCCAAGGAATTCCCAGTTAAAAACATGGCATTTTAGTGAAATTGAAATTGCGAAAAATTCCCATCGAATTACTGAATTTTAGTAAAATTTTACAAGTAGAATTCCGAGGAATTTCCGGCTAAAAACTTGGAATTTCGGTGAATTTTCAAGAAATTACTTAAAATTTCATTAATATTCCCAAAAATTCCTGACTATTGAAAGAGAATTTCAGTGAAATTCCGAAAAATTCTTATGTAATAAATGAAATTTAGAAAAAAAAACTCGAAGTTTCATGAAATTTTCGACTAATAAGGTGGAATTTAAGTGAAATTTCAAAAAATTCTCACAAAATTTTAGTGAAATTCCAAGGAATTTCTAAGAAATTACAGGAAATGTCAGTGAAATTCCGAAAAATTTGTGGAATTCCAGGATATTTCAGTGGTGAAGGTTTGGGGAATTTCAGTGAAGTTTTAAAAAAATTATGGAATTTGGAATTTCTATAGAATTTTGGAGAATTTAAGTGGGATTGAGAAAAAAATAAATAAAATTATGAAATATTCGCAAAATTTCCATTAAATTATATACATATAAGTAATTTCACTTTGTGTCGACTTAGATAAAATTTCGATGAAATGTCGAGTAAAATTCCAAGGAATTCTCGTCGAATTACATAAAATCTGTTTTTTTTTTTTATAGATAAAAGTCAAAATGACATCATGTTGGCAATACAATGTAAAATTGTCAATGCTATCAAATTTTTTATGTAGAAAAAGCTTGTGTTGCCAACAAAGTTACTAAATTTTTGACTTGGGGAATTATCTTTAAAAAAAAAACAGACTTTACATGGAATTCCTTGAAATCGTATTGTGGAATTCCAGTGAAATTACATAGAATCCGAAGAATTCCCTTGGAATTAAACAGAATTTCCGTGGAATTTCCATGAAACCACGAGAAATTTCAGCGGAATTCCGAAGAATTGAATTAAATTTTAGTGAAATTCTGAGCAATTTCTGTTGAATTATATAAAATTTTAGTAGAATTCCGAGAAATTTCATGAAAATTTTCACTGTAATTCCGAGGAATTTTTGAACAAGATTTCCATCGAATTTTATGGTGGAACTCCATGGAATCTTTTGATGAAATTCGGAAAAGTTTTATGAAATCTTATAGTAAAATTTCTAGGACTTTCTCTGTTTTTCTGTTCAAATTTGTCATTTGAATGGAATTTCGAGGAATTCCATAAAATCTTCTAGTGAAATTCTGAGGATTTCTATGGAATTAACAAAAATTTTCGCCGAATTCCCATGGAACAACTTGAAATTTTAGTGGAATGCCGAAGAATTTCATTGAATTTTATGGTGGAATTCCATAGAATCATATGATGAAATTTGGAAAAGTATTATGAAATCCTATAGTAAAATGTCTAGGAACTTCGGTTGTTCCATTCAAATTTTTCATTTGAATTTAGAATCTCTAAAAACTTTTCAAAAACCCTTAAAATGCTCCAGAATTACCTAAAATTTTGAAAATCTTAAATCTTCTGAAGTCCTGTAAAATCGTGTTGTAAAGATTTTCAAAATTCCCAAAATCCTACAATATTAAGATTTAAAATATGTGTTCATTATTTTATAGAGTTAACTAAACCTCGGAGCGGTTGATTGATCAAAATCTGTGTACAAGTCCAGAAAAACTTGTAAGATATATTTAAAATCCCTGAAAATCTTTAAAAATTTAATAAAACCTCACTAAATTCATTAAAAATCTCTTGAAATCGCATAAAATTTCACAAAATCACACAAAATTTTTTTAGAACAAAAGAATCGGGCCAAATCTTATAAAATCATTACCTAATATATGTATGTTCCAAAAAAAAAAATAAAAAATTCAAAATTTCCAAAAATCCTTTGGAATCCTCAAAAATCCGTTAAAATTTCTAAAAATCCTTTAGGACCTCCAATGGTCGTTTCCACCAACCAGAAAAACTTGTATAAGATCTAAATACTTAAAATCCCTAAAAATCTTCAAAAATCTAACAAAATTTTATTAGAACAAAAAAAAATCTGGCAAAATCCTATAGAATTCCTAATAAAAACATTTCCATAAATCCTTTGGGATCCCCTAAAATCCGTTAAAATCTCTAAAAATTCTTTAGGATCTCTAAAAACCCTTCTACTTTCCTAAAATGCTCGAAAATCACTTAAAATCCTGTAAAATCATATGGAGATTTTCAAAATCCTCAAAATCCTACAAAATCAATGAAGTTTTAAAATATGTGTACCTACATGTTTTAAGGAGTTAACCACCCCTCGGAAAACCCTAGAAATAGAAATTATAGAACTGAAATTGTCTATTGAATGAGGGCCCGCCTGTTGAAAATGTGAAAGTCTTGGGAGTTTATTTTGATTGCCATCTTTCCTGGAAAATTAACATTGTTTATGTAGCCTCAAAACTTAAGAGTGGGCACTTTGCAGTCATGAATCTAAAGGGGACTGTCGGTCCAAACTTGCTTATGATGCTCTACCATGCGAGAATAAAAATAATTATTTATAGTATGGAATTGTTCTCTGGGGCTCATTAGCATAAACTGTAAGGCTACTAATTCTTCAAAAGAGAATTGGAAGACGAATTGCTGGGGTAGATATCTTACTCGATTTCTTAGCTCACTGCAAACCTTTATTTAAAGATCTTAAAATAATGACAGTACTCACTATACTTATAATGCCTATCAATATTTGTACATAAACACAAACAGTAATTTGCAAAAAATGCAAATCAATAGGGGTAGGTATATGCAAACAGGGAATCAAAACCTTCGTAGTGTGCCTAAGCACAAAACTACATTTTACATAATAATATGAGTAGGTATCAAAAGTCTTTATTACACTTCCAAAGGATTTTCAGAACCTATCCCCAGTCAGAGAGAGTTTTTTCAAATAAAACATACAAATATTTTATAAACAAACCACTCTACTCAATAAGAAAATTTGTTGCCAGTTAGTTTCGTCCGGGCTTTAAATACGTTTGAAAAGTATCACATATAGATATTCAAAAAATATCGATTCTCTACCACAAAATGTTCCAAAAATAACCTAAAAACACTCTGTTCCACACATCTTTGAAAGATGTTCTTCAGTATAACGTTGATTGAATAGTGTTTGGGTTAGTTTGGGTTAACCACTACTCAATCAACGAGTATAATGAAGACAAATTTAAAATGAAACAGGCTAAATAATAATCTCAGGAAAATTGTTACCCGATAAACCCCTCCATTGAACGTATTCGAAAAATAATGGCCAATACAATAAATCTTGTTAAAAAGGGTTTTGGTTTAAGTTGTGGCTATATCAGGATTAAAGGGACTGCGATTTTAAGGATTTAACAAAGGTTGGATTTATTATGAACTAATTTAGGGTTTAATATCACATGGATGGATTTTAATGCAATTTTGAACTCAATTTATTTTCATCATTATTATTTTAAGTTTTGTTCTTGTTAAAGTCACATTTTAGGTCTTTTTGGTGAGATTATGATTGAAGAGAAAAGAATTTGGCTCGTTTAGTGGTTTTTAAAGCAATGTTGAACCCAAGATAGGTACGCCTAGGAAAGCTTTTGTATGATTATAAGTTTCAAACTTTCAAACAATGGGTTTTCTAGTTTTACGAAGCGTGTTTTCATAAATTCTATTATACTCTTGTTTTAGTTTTAAGTAGGTAAGTATTGTTGATTGTTAAAAGTTTTATAAATTATACTCGCGAGGTGAAATAATGCAAAATGTAAAATGCACTTCAACACTCATTTTCAACATTTTTTTTTTTTCAATAGAAAGCTATTCCTATTTCCTACCTTTTTATTCAAATAAAAAAATACAATGGGAATGCGGACTAAAAATAAAAGATTCCCAGAACCAATATTGTCTCAATATGTCATTGTGTCAATTGAAAAAGGAAAAAAAAGGTTCAGTTAAAGGGCACGAAGGACCGATATATTTAAAAACCCTTTGGAAGAGTCCCATGGCTGTTTATTTGTTTTAAACCTATATATTTTCCATGTTGGTTTTAAGATTCAGAGCTTCAAATTTTTCAGAAATTACTTTGATCACAATTATTATTCTTACAAGTTGCATGAAATATTTCGGCAAACTTAAAAGACCCAACTGTTTTGCTGGGACCTTTAAAATGACCCAAAAACGAATGGTGCTTTACTTAGAAGAGCAGCTGATGATACGTTTTACCTGATTTTTATTCAGCTGGTTAGCTGTATCAAACATAATGTTGCATCCACTCATTTTACACTACTATTTTAAATTACAATGTACCTACCTACTCAATAAGACTTTCATATTGACTAATGAGAACTGAAAAGAACAAATTGATACACTTAATCAAGAATAAATATTGATAGATTCTTTGAATTTATTTTATAAAGCTTACCAAACTTTATATAAACCATCATCGCTATCAAAGTATAAACACTTTTTAGTTTTTGCCTCTCCCTAATTAATAATATGGTCAGTAGTTGATATAGTGATAAAGTCACAACTTTTTGCTAAATACCTATTATAAGTGAAATTTAAATGGTAAATGTTTACCTTTAGTAATAGATGAAGAGGAGGACTTATATCGGGAGACTTTTTCTTTTCCTGATTACATAAACATGATTTAATCCACGGCATCTCGTAAACGGGCTAAAAGTCAAAAGTTCACAATTTTTTTTTAACAACAATAAACCACTGTCAGTTTCTAAGATAACTTTCAAGTGTGAGATTCGGCTTCCAAACTTTATATGTGAAGCCAAAGAAAAAATTACTGTCAGTTGACAAAGGGGTGGAAACTTGACACTTTTTTAGAAAAAAATGTATGCACAAATAAGCTTGGGATTATAAAACAAGTTTGATTAGCGAAGCTGTTAATTTGAATTCAAATTTTGCGGCTTAAATCATTTTGAACGGAACAGGCAGCGACACACGTGCGATCGGCGCCTGAACTACGTCCGTCATGGCCTTATACTTTACTCGGTGTTGAGCGTTCGGGTTCCCGGACGCAACTGAATAAAACGTGCATTTTGATACTGGATGTTTGCGTTTCGGTACGGAAAAAGTCCGGAACTTGCAACTCAACCTCCTCCGCAACGCACGAGTTTGAGGGCGGACCGGGCGGCCTTTTAATGACTCTTTTTTCTGGGTTCGATGGGCGCATCGGGCTACCATCATCATCATCAATGACCATGCAGCTGTCCATAGTCTGGTACAAAACAATCAGTTTTGTTGTATATCTACCTAAAGATTTTTGGGATGTTTGTCTATGCGTGTACAGGTTATTCCATTCGTAAAAAAGCTTTTAGTCCGAAATTAATGGAATAATACAAATCTTTGTCCAAAGTTCAAATTTGAATTTTTTTTTCTTAATTTGTTGCTCCGCGTACGAATGAGCAAAAAATTATACTTGTTGTGTCTATAGCCTAAATTGATATATAAAAGGTGATTTTGAAATCAGATGAGACAGACATTGCTTCATTGACAAAACTTTTTAATTTTATTTCAAAAGACCAACTAATTACAATTTTATGTTTCAAAAGTTCTCACAACTTTCATAAGGACTTAACAAAAACTTTTTATCAAAACTCAGCAAGAATTTTTGGGTCAGTTTTCATCAAATTTTCATTCAGGAAACAGGGAGCAATTTTGATGCATGGTTGAAAATTCAAAAGATATCAAAGCCTTTTTACAGAAGGTGCCAAAAATATTTCAGCTTCCGCAAAACTAAGACTTCTCCCTAGAAAATTAGACGCACAAATTCATGAATGGTACGTCAATTTTATTTTACATTTTACCTAAGGAAATTAAAGATATTACCTTCAGTGAAACTATAATTAAACAAACCCCAGATGTTTGGTAAAAAAACTACAATTATTCACACAAGATACCAATGCATGCAGTTGAATATAAATTATTCGAAAGGTTTTATTGCAATTAATTCACGTGTTAACAAAATATGTGAAGAATTTAAGATAAATCGAATCACATCAAACGATTCAGATCTTTGATTTTTACTTGTAGTTTACAATCGAGTAAAGACACTGAAAAACGATCAAGAATTTCAAGTAGGTAAATTAGATTGTAATAACAATGATCAAATATACATTAGGAAGATCAATTTCTGAATGTCAGATGAGGATCGGAAATATTAGGTAAACAACACACTTTGGAATATCCGTCTCTCAATGTAAATTCCATTTCAAGCAGAAACAATCAGACCGCTACGACATGAGAAAAATACTCAAACAATTTAGAGAATGGTACTGCAGTTCCAAACAACCCTCGCTGGTATTGCGGCGAACTTCATTTTACAAAATTTTGTTCATTTAAAGAACACACGTGTCAAAGACCACATAAAGTATAAAGTAGGTCATAAGGGTAGCGATTTTAGATTATAAGAGTTTTGAGACAAAACACAGTGAATTTATTATAAAATAAGATGCAGATTAAATTTTTAAAGCATAAAGACCAGGAGCCTATTCAGTCATTATAAAGTTGACCAAGAACTTTAAAGGCTGCAAGGAAAAAATATCATATCATTAATTGAATATTCTGTTTGGGCCGCTAAAATTACTGTTACGGAGAAACAAAGCGGAGATGTCAGATTATGTGGCGACTACTTTACTGGTCTCAACGAATCACTTCCACCTCATTATTATGCTTTTCCAACAGTCGAAGACATTTTTTCGAAGTTACAAAACTCTTCAATTTTTGAGTATCATTGACCTTTCTGATGTTTTTCTTCAAATTGGAATCATCAAAGAATCAAAATTCAATAAACACTCATCCTCAATAGAATGCCTTTTGGTATTAAAGTGGCTCCAGCCATTTTTCCAGAAAATCCAGGGATACCATGTAAGCAGGCCTGAAAGGATCCTCTGCATATATTAATTACGTTCTTATTTATTTATATATTTATTTCTTTATTTATGTATTTATTTACTTAATACAATACTCTACACGTAAAACCCAATTACAGAGTAGAAACAATCTGACTTATGTATGATCCGACTTATGTATATTGAAATGTAAATATAGTCCTACATATTAATAACATTTTGCAATACAACACTACTATCAAAATGCGATTTTATATTTTATGCTTTTGAATTTACAACAAAATATGTCAATATTTAGTTTTTCAGCAAGCATAGTGTATAACGAAGAGTTAACCATAGTGACTGTTCGAGAAGAATTTATGTAAAGCAAATCTAAAACTCTGGAATATTGTCTTGGAACTCTGATGTCAATTTTACTGAGTAAGTATATCTGGACAACCAATTAAATTATTCCAAATTTTGTAAGCTTAAATGACACTATTGCATGATCGTCTTAATCTAAGACAAAAATGATTATGTCTTTGTAAAAGATCAGAATTTGGTATTCCTATAGGTAGGTGAGTTTCATCAAGCTTGGAGCTTAATGACTTCAGAAATCGCCTCTGCACAGCTTCAATACCGTCAATATGACGCTGATGATAAGTAGACCAGACTACAGAAGCGTTTTCGAGTTTAGATCGCACAAAGGTCCTATACAATATGTACACACATTCTTAAATTCGCCACTTCATCAAACTATGAATCCATATGTCCTGTAAGCAGAGTTAACAGTTCTATCAATATGGCAATTAAAAGTCAGTTCCTTATCAAATATCACCTCGACTTCTGCAAAAGTTTCTGTTCGACTTAGGATGCTGCCACCAAGAGAATGATCAAATATAAATGGATTTTATTTTGATAATAATAATAATAATAATAATAATAATAATACGACATTTAATAACTCAAAAAATTAAATTTAAACATTTTATATCATTTTACAATTAGATGAGTTAATCGGACTATATTTCAGCCCATTTTGCGACGTAACGCATGATCTTACAAATGCTGTTGAGGCCGGTATCGCAACAAATTGAAACAGAATAAAAGAAAAATTAACAAGAATACAGAGATTATTATTAGGAACTAGAAAATAAAACTAAGTGAAAATAAAGGAGTTTAGGTAAGGGAAGGTGAGAGAGGGGTAAAGAGAGGTAAAGCACGCAGGAAAAAGAATTGAAAGAAATATTTCATACATACACACGTAGTTAGAAGAGAGTCAACAAATATTAAAACCGAGATTAAAACACTAACTAGCTGCGATTGAAATAAATTAGTTTTAATTCGTTTTTTTGACAGAGGCAATCGAAGTGGAAAAATCCACTACCTATTTGAAATTTGTTTATTATGTTAGCAATTTTGTATGCAAAAGACTTTTTGGAAAAGTGTTTATGGCGTGATATTGTTAAAATATGGCTACATCTAAGGTTGCGGTTATGGACTTGATTTGCATATCGTACTTTTTCTACGAGATACCTAGGAGACTCTTTTTTAAGAATTTTATAAAAAAATATTGCGGAATGCATCACTCCTCAACTATACATATTCAGCCAATTTGCATCCTGCAGTCTATAAGTTCCAGTACCCTAAACTAAACTTGCTTGTAACGTGTGTTACGGGTCAAAATAATAGGTCTTTACAAAATAATTTAAAAACTAAAGAACCTCCGAACATCTTCTCTCATGGACCTCGAACCCTCCTGAAATGAAATTAACCGTTAAGTACCATTGTTTTGAATGTTAAATAAATACTTACCTTGTTCAGCGCTTCATTAATTAAGACAATTATATCTCCATCATCAGTCATTTCCATTCATTCATCCGAAAGTAAGGAATTTAATTTATTAAAAATTATCAAGAACGTCAAATTGTCAAGAAGGATTTATTCAAAAATAGTTTCCTTTTGGTTTCATAGATGTCGTTTGATTTTTGGCTCGAAAATTTGAAGCTTAAACCCTCAAATCAAAATGTCCCTAACTTTTTTCCCAGAACCAAAATCCCCGCGCGAACGTAGGTACCGATTTCGTGACAGTACCACATTTTTCGTTGAGGAAGAGGCAACGTTTTTGCTTTTCTCGTGGCTTTTTGTCGATTTTCGAAAGTTAGGGCCCCAAATATTTCGTTAAAAGGTGCACCGAAGCACTATTTTGCTGATTTAGTGATGAATTAGGGAGAAAAACCAAAACTTATTTGGTTCCACGTTTTTGAGTTTGTGGAAAAAGGCCAATTTCCATTGGTAAGTTCCTTACTTTCTTACTTGTTAATACTAAATTGAGGCTTTACTCCTAGAAATATTTAAATAAATCGTACATACCTTATTCTTCAGAATCCTGACGCAATTTTCATTGTTTCAGCCTTTTTTTTACGTTATGGTCCCCCTTTTTGTTTGTATCTACACCCTACCAAGCAAGTGACATCCAACCCTATCTTGAAGCTAAGCATTTACAGAGGCCTTGAATTTACTCAGAGATTGGTTATTTTTCCGACAAGTAGTCCTGGACCTGGTGAATCGCCCGAAGAACTTTGAGGACTTTGTTGTCCTGTCACTCTTCTAAGAACCTACTAGACCCACCCAGTATATAATAATAAGGTTTGATTATTGTTGTGCTGTCTTTGGGAACCATTCAAACCTCTAAATTGATCATCTGATAGAGATTATCCATCTCATTGAGAGCTGGAGCTTCATTTAAGTACCAACAGCTTCAGGGCTTTTTCTGAATTTTAAGACCAGTGAACCTTTGTCCTATTTTGCTAAAAGATTATTATTATTATTATTATTATTATTTTTAACCCTTCTTTAGGGGATAATATGGCCATGGCGTACTGACGCCCTATGTGAATTAATTATTTGTTTCGACGATTGTGTATTTATTTAAAGTGAGTACCGTCTATTGTTAGTATAGGTACGTTATCAGTTATTATTATTATTTTTTTTATGTCTACCAGCTGATTTTTGCCGGTGACCATTTCTTTTTTTGAATTTTCAGTTTGATGTTGAAGGTAATATTTGAGGGCAGATTGATTACATTTATTGATCTGAATTGAAGCGTTCCATTGTACCCTTTTAGGCAATTTCAGTTTGACAGGTGCAGTACCGTTTAGCTGTTGAGCTTTCCTGTTTTGTTTTGGGATATCGAAACTCCGTTTAACTGAAGGGCATTAAAACAGGTGGCGCTTTTCAGTTAATTACCCAAACCACTCTCCACTAAGAGCTAGTCGGCAGCCTTTAGAAACGGAGTCTCCTTCCTCGTCTTTTGGTACTGTGGCCACATTCCTAAATTTTCATTTTCACTTCACTTTCACTTTTCTTTCTTTTTTTTTAAGTT